TTCTTTGATTTACCTTGTTTAATTTTTCTCATGTGAATGATTTCATCTGAATGAGATGACCGATTATTTTGTTTTTTGAGCAAGATAAATCAGTATTCTGCCTAATAATTTGAGAGTTAATTTTTAAGGAATATCAGAATCAATTCTGAAGAGATATAGACCAACACACTTTACTTTCATATCAAACATACTGATAATATCTTGTCATTTCTTTCATCATCTTAAATACTTTTTTAAGCAAGTCGTTAATTAGTTAAGTGCTTGTAATTTCCCATCGTTTGTTTATAGGACTGTGACTGATCAGCCTTTGTTACCGTGTAGATCCTTATCAGATTCCATCAATATATTGCGTTGTGAATTCTATCACTAGAGATGGACCGAATATACTAAGAACATTAATTGGTTTTAAAAGTTTTAATCACTTAGCTGCAAAGTACTTACAAACTTTATTATTTGTACCTTGTCCACACACGGTTAACTTTTTGTCGCTTGAATGTTGTATTACTAATGGTTTCGATGCAAACTGACTTGGTTATAAAAACAACTACTGAACGTTTATGTTCCATCAATCTGGTTGACAAAGTGTGTTAATATTAACATTTACTACCTCCTAACCTTACTTTCTACTATGTACCAAATTATTCACCGTTTTACGTCACAGACTCATCTTGGTTAAACAGTCATTAAAAACCACGGAGCGCTAGTATGTTGTTTCGTCTTATCATGAGGCTTCTCACTAGTGTACATGCATGACCCCACCGAGAATCAAACTCAGCACCTTTAAAGCTTTTGGTGAGCACCTAATCTTTAGGCGACTGAGTCAGTATCCAGTGATTTACATCTCTCTCTATATATATATATAATAGATTGGGTGTGGTTTATGAATAATATTTAACCTTACTTTGCTCTAGAATTCTATATTTTTAATATATGAATTCATAATTGACAGTATCATTCGCTATTTAAAAAGTACTTATCCACCTTTTGCCTTAAGTAGAAACTAATACAGTTGAGATTAATTTCTTGTAAATGAAATGCCTGAGTCTTATCGTTTATTTTCTTTCGTATTACTCAACTTGGGCGTGTTACATATAACTTACTTAAATTAATAAACCAAGTTGTAATTTTTAATACCGTATTTGTCTGTATGTTCCTCATTTTTCTACCTATATTTATCTATTGTCTGTTATTGAAGCTGTGGGAAATGTAGAAGTGTACTTTTAAAATTATAGTGCAAATATGATTATTGAGTTGGATTCCATGGTAACTGAATACATTTCGCTCGTTTTCTTGTGTTTATTTGTACAGAGATATTAGCGTTGTACTTATTTAAGCCTGAAATAATTACTTTCTAATTTTTCTGTTTTATTACCTAGCATTTCCATCTATTATTGATGTTTCAAATTAGCATATCTGCCCGATTTATCTCTTGTAAACATTATCCTTTTTTTTAAAAAAAATTAAAAGAATCATTTACTGTAGAATGGTTTACTATGCATAGATGTCACACAATTTTAGCAGATGTTACTAAAAGAACAATGGCAGAAAGGAAAAAAACGAAGAGAGTTGTAACGGACTAAAGAGTCAATTTTACTTTTAATGCAAAACAAATTTTCGGTTTTTACTCGACTAATTTTCCTAACTATTATTTTCTGAAGTCATTAGATAGAATGTTCGCATGCAATCATTATACACCAAAATAATTGTATAGGTGTTGTTATTTGTAAATAATGTTTACATTTTTGAAAGCATGAGTCAATTAAAGCTAGACCGCCAAGGAAAACCTGAAAGCACTTGTTATAGCGTATGAATTTGCACCTCTTAATATATATATATGCGTCCAATGATACAGGAAATACGTACGAGCAATCCGGTTCTTCCTATCTGCCTAGCCCAGCCCGTTAAGTCCAGAACACAAATACAGCCTCGGCAATATGAATCATTATTCACAAGCATACTGGGTTTATATACTAACCAAACAGACCAAATTATACCAAAAAATAGAAAAATAACATTTGTACAATAATTGGCCAATGTGGCTGTAGATAAGGGGAAAGTAATCAATAATAATAGTTCAGAGGTCAAAATAAGGGTTATGATAAGAGGAACACGAAAACGATTAGGTCAGTTATTTAACAACTATACAATAGGAAATAGGCATAATTACATTTGTCCATAAATAGACCTAAAAGTTACCATTCATAATTCACCAGGGGATATAACAGCACTGAACTGCCGTTTCGTTCTATTGTGGGACTCCTCAGTCGTGCGCATCCACGACCTCGCCTCAATTGACTCATGCTTTCAACTATGCAAATACTAAATCTCCACAAAAACCCCTTCTGAAAATAATATTTAATTTTATGTAACTGATCCAATATCAAATTAAGTGTTATTTTAATATATTGTCTTATAATTTGTTTAAACCTGGTTAACTGGACTACAAGAAAGTGATAAATTAACTCCACTTTAGTCAAACTGTTTGTTCTCTGTATGTTTTATTAAAATAAATATTAAGAAATAAATCATTTTGGGTATCCTTTTTTTTTTTTATGTTGGTTTGTTCTCTGAGCTGGATGGTTTGGTCGTGGAGCTTTCATCGTCCTTCTGAACGACATCATCAGCACAAACTTCGGGTAGAAGTGAAGTGTTTGAATTTCTCCACATGTGATTCACAGCTTGTCCTCTGCACCTCGATGTTGATTGGTTCTTATTGACCTTAAATCTGTCATTGTTTATTTCTTTGTTTTGATTGTCTCTCCTATTGTTTTGATTTTTGTTCCTATGTTCCTGCATAATTTTCTTGATTGGTTGATAGATTGGATTGATTTCAATATGTTTGTTTATTGCAGATTGACCTGAGTGCCAAGCTTCTAAAAATTCTTTGGTATTTTTGGAATTGCCTCTGTCCAAAATCTGCACATTTTCCCAGTCGAATGTATGTCCGTAGTTGTCCACGTGTATTGATATGAGTGAAGAAATGTCGTGGCGTTTGACTGCTAATTGGTGTTCATGTAGGCGAAGATGCAGGGGGCGTCCGCTTTGTCCAATATAGTGTTTGTTGCAGTTGGTACAATTTATCTTGTAGATGATGTTTGTTTTGTCTTCTTTTGCCATTTCATCTTTTGGTTTGCATAAGATTGAGTGGAGGGACTTTGTTGGTTTGTGGGCTACACCTATTCCGAAGGTTTTCAGCAGCCTTGTTGTCGTTTCCGATATGCCCTTTATGTATGGTAGGGTGATCCTTTTGTTGATTTTTATACTTGACTTCATTTCTGATGGTGTGTGCGACTGGTATTTTTTGATGAAATTGATTGGATAGCCGTTCTTTTGAAGAATGGTTTTCAGGTGTTTTTCTTCATTTTTTCGTGCTGTGATTGTATTGCAGTGTGTTCTCGCCCTCTTGAACAAAGTTTGTACACAGTTGATTTTGTGAGTTCTTGGGTTGTTGCTATTGTAGTTGAGAATTTGATCGGTGTGGGTCGGCTTCCTGTACACTTGAGTCTCTAGTTTTCCTGTGTCCGTTCTGGTGATTAATACATCTATCCTTTTATTTCTTCATTTTCCTTTACCACAATAATGATGATATTGTTCCCTTCTTAAAGGAATAAGAAATATAATCTTTATGGCTATCGTACAATTATCCTATTTAAATCTATCACCACTCAACCGCAGATGGATTTATTTAAAGAAACAGTTTGGTATTGTATACCACATTCAATGGGTTTTTTTCAATAATCTTGATGATTATTTACTGACTGATCTATGGTTTCTTGAATAACAGAAATTACAGGATGTATAAAATATTGATTGTGTATCTGGTCGATGGTATTTATTACTATTTACTCCTCATAGATTCATTAACTGGTTGAATAGTTTATTAGTCTACTATTACGGACACTTTGTTGCACATATTGTCAAATTTCTGGGGAAAAAGAGTATATTCGTAATATCGCATCGATTTGTTCAGATTATATGGAAAGATAAAGAGTAAGGAAAACTCCATTTGATTGAAATTGAAAATATTGTTCGTTATTTCTCTGTGTAAATCCCTGTCTCTTTAGTAACTTCAGTCAACCAAAATATACGAAGTAGACACTTGTTGTTGTTGTTTATAGCGATGTTGAACGTTTTACTCAGAGATCATAACACTAATATATTTTCAGTATAATTTACACTAATAGTTGGTTTGTCTTTAGTATCCCTATAATTTATTGCATGCTTTTTTTCAATCGCTTCACTTGATACAAATGATTGTTATAGACAAATCACTTTACAAGCATATTGGTTAATAGAGATTTATAGTTTTTGTCTGATTAACTTATCGTTATTTTTCCATAATATATTCCAAACTTACATTTTATCGACTTGGTGATTCAACAACAGGGAGACAGTTAAGATGTTTTTGTTTACACCCCACTTGAAAGAAGTTCATTGCTATTATAAAACAAGACAGTAGGCAGGAGGAATGTGCGTTTATCATGAGAAGTCACAAAGTCTTTACACAACACATGTACATAGCCTTTTATCTTCCATTTGCATCTACCGGTGAGTTCTGCGATCTAAACCATCTTCTCTCGTCTGGCCCCTACGTGTAATGGCGATGTTGTGCTTTCAATGTACTGAAACTTTGCACTCCGTCTGACAACTGTTGCAGCTTCGACATCACGTTTCGCTATGCACTACTTACAATCATCCTTGTGAGTACTGTCCATTACACTATAAGTACTCAAATAATATTTAATAGGTTACCTATCGGTGTTAAATTATTGTTTCAAAAACTTTTCAATCAATATTCAACATGCACTATGGTGTTGTACCATTGCATTTTTAATATTTTTTTCGCATGGTTACCTTCAAATTGTAGATTGAAATGGGAAGCATCATGGCTGAATAATATTGAATTGAACAACTTTTTATATGTTTCTAATGTGCATTATTTTATGCTATTTATGATTAATGCATTTTTTTATAAAAAAATTCATTTTCCTTCTATCTAGCTTGAAATTGATGAAATCGATGAACTAACTACACAATATTTAATGGATATTTTATATCCTAAACAAGAAGTAAAACAGTTTATATTCCAAAAACCCCAAGGTCCTATGGGACGTCGTCCTAGAACACATATACATTAATATTTATTTTTGGATTTTATCATTAATTATAACATATTCTTATAATTATTACTACTTCATTGCCTTCTATATCATGAATTTCATTGATTTATTCACTTCAAAATATATTGATATACATACTTTCTCGATTTGATAATTATCTAGTTTTTCATTATTCTTTTATATTTTTGTTAAATTAAAAGAGTGTGAGAAGATTAACTTCACTGCTGAATCTGTACATCGTATATATACATATATCGGTTTTGTTTCTGTTGTACAACCACACACATTCGTTAAATCGTATAAAGTTCCCTTAGTAAAATGGAATAATTTCTCCTCATATATCTCGTCTTTATTCATGTTTGTAGATTGGTTCAACTTAATACATTGTCTTATCACATTGTTTTAATGAAAACGAGTGAAATTCTACTCATTTTTCTTTTCAATTCATGTAATAGTATTATCAATAAACAGTCGAAAATGTTTACCGATGCGGTTCCTCATATAATAGATATATATGTACTTTATTTTCATTCCTGATTATTTGTTTAGATACAGCTGTTGTCTCTGTTACTTTCCTTTTTATTATCTTTTTCTCTTATAAAGACTTGCTACCTACTACTTTGTATAATGTATGTATTCATTTTATTACATATATGTTTAGCACATATTTCGTTTTTTATGATCACATTTTTCAAAAAAAAGTTTTAAACTTAATATAAAAATGATTTATTTATTACAAATTGATATTAGCTGATGAATAGGGAGTATTAAAAATCAGATTGCATTGACATAGTTGTCCCATCGTAATTTGGGATTCTTCAACAGTATGCACTTATATCTCAAGCCCCGAAGATTATATAGAGGCTTTTCCATAAATTCCTTTTATTTATAGCTACTTTTAGTGGATATAGTCATGGGATAAAAAGTGTGTCTTCATAAACAGTAATCTTATTTTAACTGTGTCTAATTTTTTATACATTTTAGTTTAGTAATATTTACACAGAAATGGTATGGTCTTCTTTTTTGACATCAAATTACGTTTTATTTATGTTTGAAAATTTAACATTGAATAAGTAAGTGGACTATTGTATGCGTATATGATAGCGGGTCAGTGATTTCACCGCTAAAATTACATATTGTGGTCTTACAGAAATTAAATCTAACCTCTTATTTTAAATTACTCAGTCTAATAAATTTGTTGGACTCTCATAATAAACGTGGTACGACTGAAAGCTTGAGTCGGTGTATGGTTGTAGCATATAATGTAGAATGCATAAAATAACTCACATTTTAGTTGTGTACGTAGAAAATCAACTTAGCTATTCCGTTTCATACTATACGAAGCTAAAATGATACCATACAATTTATGTAATGTAATCTACAGTTAAAGAGTTTAATATGTGTATGGACTGATTGTTGTAATTTCCATATGAATACTTTTGTTTCATATTCGATTAACAGTATTTTTAAGGATTTATGAACAATAAATATATTTAACAGTGAAGAAATGCCATTTCATAATTGATTCTGTATGTTCCAAACATAACAGATATAGACAACAAATCTACAAGTTCCTGTTAACTACCATTATACAGTCAACAGTTGGATTTTTCTCACCAATTCTTTAGTACTTAAATAACATGTTAACGAACTTTTATCACTGAGTTACACTATTTACATTTGATTAATCAATTGACTCACGCTTTCAACTAAGCAAATAATAAATCTCCACAAAAAACACCTGATAGTAATAATCATGTGCTCACTAGTGACTGACTTCCAGAGGTAAATCCAGGAGTTCTAGTGAGAAGCAGTGAACAATGGAGTTCAAACAACATCTGTTGTGAGATAGGAACGCGCTGAAGACAATTGATGAACGGTTGCTCAACTTCGTGGATTGGTTGGAGCTAGACGTAAGCCCTACCAGATGCTGGCTCAGTGGTCTATCGGTTAAGTGCTCTGGCGCGAGACTGGTAGGTTCTGGGTTCGAATCTCGCGAGGCGAGTTCGTGAATGCGGAATGAGGAGTCCCACAACAGGACGAAACGGCTGTCAATCAGTGCTTCCAAGTTTTCCCTGGTGGTCTAGCTTCAATTGACTCACGCTTTCAACTATGACAATTAGTAAGTGTTGTTTTAACGTTTATTTCTGGTTACATTAAGCTAAACCTCTTAATGAATTAAACTAAATTATTCAATATTATTATAAACAGTAATTTACTTTTTCATCAAATAGTAAGTTGTTCTATCACTTGGAATATTAATAGATTACACTGACAACAATAATATATAATTCAGTCATTTTCTTACATTCTATATAATTTGTCAATATTATTCATTTTGTAGATTCCAGAAATGTTTATTATGAAATTCTTATGTAACATTTCTTATTAGTTTGAAGTTATGTCATCATTACTATATATTATTAAATACTTAGTATTAATTAAACTAAATGAATGATAAATAGATTTAGATGTGGTCTTTCTTCCGGTTAAGTAAATCATTAGTTCTTATAATAGAACCTCTTGTAACCAGTTTTTAGATTCTTCTACTTACATATTTAACTCTATGATTGTATACTACATTGAAGTAAAACTTATTATTAATCTATGAGGTCATTATTATAGAAAACTATATTATCTTGTTTGGATTCCAAGTGTCATTAGAAATTGCATGTAAATAAGTATGCATTAAAGTACAATGCCGTACATTATGTTTTTAGCTGTATTCCTCAGTTTTCTCTCTCTCTCTCTCTCTCTCTCTCTCTCTATATATATATATATATATATATATATATATATATAGAATTATGTTTAATTATCTAGCTCATGCGATGGAAAATATTTCTATTTTTTAACTGTATGGAAATAAGATCATTTTGTATATTTTTTTCCCGTAATTATCATTTATGAACTTTTGGTAAGATGAAGGATATGATACTCTTTATCGTTGTTTTCAAATCACAACACATACTATGATTACAAATATTCTTTCACTATTACTCTAGATCTCATTACTACCTATTAGTATTTTGGAAGTTATTTTTATACTGACGAAGTTCATTATACTAAAAATGGCAACTTTATACTAGGTATAACGTATATATCTTTCATTCGAGTGAACTTACTAGTGCTATAGTTTGTTAATTAGACTGCAACACAAAATTTTTAGTGAAATTACTGTTGATGAAAATAAACTTTTAAAAAAAATGATATTTTAATTATTGTACGAAATAAAACCATTAGACTAAACAAATCAAATCAACAGTGCGTGAAAACAATACTAAATTTCATTTTACCTTCTCAGCTTATAGATATAGAGAGCCAATCAGAAGTAACCTAGCGATACGATCAATCTGTGGCAATCAAAAGTGACCTAGAATACAAGTGAATTTGATTGGCTAAGAAATGGGTTAATTTACTAAGGATAGAGTGGGGTATATATAAATGAGTACTGGGGCATTTTATTCGATCACTCAGGAAGCATTCCCGTTCACTCGAGTAGTCGGTTGGGTGGTTAGCGCCAGACATACTGTGTATCAGTATCAGATTTTGGACACCTCCCGTCACAACGTTTATGAAATCCGTGCAACATATTATTAGAAACTTTATTAAAGAAAATAGCAAATAGTTATCAATACCAAGGTTGGACGTGATAGTTTCAAATAAATGGAGCATTAAATAGCAAATGAAAAAATAAATATATATTTTTATATCCCAGCGAGTAATAAAATTTCAAACCCGACGTTTCTTCAGAATAAATTTACCCTGAAGAAGTGGCCTACATGAAGTCATGAGACGTCGATAATATAATTTTTCTACTCATTGGGATATAACAAATATATATTTATCATTAAAATAGCAAATATTATAAACTTTATCATATTGAAAATAAATTTTGATTGGAAAATTCACATTTGTTAAAAAATACATTGGGATGTGCATTCTTTTGTTATATGTCATTCTTCAATATGAATATTCTAAATTATCTTTCTGTAATATATGTATGTATGAATACTGATTTAATGAATTATTTCTTCTTCTTCAACAAAAACAAACAAAAATTCCATTGAAACTTATCTTTGTTACTTCATTTATGATATAAACAATAAGATTATCATAAATTATTTAATGATTATTCAAATATCATTCATTATTATAAAGGAAAGAGTTAATTTCATTATGCAACTAATATTGTTGTTTTCTTTTCTATTAATGAGTCATTGTAACTAACCGTTTAGATTTGATTTGTAATTTGATAATAGTTATAAATTATTTAATAATTACATAAATTGTAATATTGACAATTTAACATTATTTAATTGTGTTACAGTGATGCTATTATACTTTAGCGTAAATGTCATGTTGGAATTTACAGTAAACTGATGTGCATATTTACCTAACCAGTTTGTAATGAAATATTAAGTTATATATATATATATATATATATATATATATATATATATATCAGTATAGGGTTATAGAGATTATGGATTTAAATTGGAATCATGAACTAATCGATATTAGATCACAATTGAAAACCTGGAAGTACTGGATGGATGTTTTATATCAGTATGAGACTATTCAGCAGTACTTATCCATGATCCAGGTTTTTAATGGTACTTTAATATTGACTAGTTCATAATCTCAATCAAAAGAAATATTCGCTTTATCGAATAAATTATAGATATACTATTGCGATAAGCTCTGAATTAATTGAGAAGGCCGTCTTTCAATTGTAAGAACTAGCGAACTTACTGATGATGTTCAAGTTTAACTATTCCTACTTATTTATTCATCGTATAACTCATAAAGTAGTTATTGTAGTTACAATTATTAGATATCCTGATATAGATGAAGGTAAGTACATTTAATCTATGTTCTCGAATTTGTTTCGAAATGGCATATGTTGCATAACCTGTCAGGGCCTGCGGCCCTCCCTCGCTTTAGTTTTCCTATAGCTTTTTCAACCTCGTAGAGAGTTGGAGAACTTACCTCAATTTGCCATTAAGGACGACTGGGGATCGTGGGTAACTGAAGTGTGGCTGAAGGCCAGTTGAACTGATCACTGCACATCGATCTAATCTCCTGGATTGAGAATGAATTATATGACCATCTTTGTCTGAGATAGTTTCGCTAATAGTTGGGTTCCTAATGCCGGTTTCTTTAACAAGTCTGAATAGTTGTCTGCTGTTACCTATTGCCGCTGCCTTTTCCATCTCTCTTGCTTTCGCTACCCACCACTGCTCGCGATCATTGCGTGGGCTTCTTATAAGCCTTCGCTTAAGTTGACTCCGCTCTTCGTTATGCTCAGAGCCAGGTGGGATGAGTTTACGAGCATCTATCAGTGCAGTAGATGCTGCCGAGATCCATTGTTTCTCCCTGATCTTATGTATTACCTTACTAGCACATATCACTGCTGTTTCCACAGCTTTTCGGATGTCATTCCACGCTGCTTCGGGGTGGGCACAACTTACATGTCTGTCTAACTGTTTTTCCAGTTGTTCCTGAAATATATTCTTAGCTTGCTTATCATTAAGTAGAACCCTTAGAGGCTTCCCTGCAGTGTCTTTCCTACGTCCAGTAAGACGCAGACAGATACGTGCTCGCACTAGAGCATGTTCTGAGTCTAAACATGTGCCCCAGAATGATCGACAATCTTCTATCTAGCCCCTCCATCGGTGGCTGATAGCGATGTGATCTAATTGGGTCCAACGTTGGGACGAATTCGGGGATCGCCATGTCAAAACATGTTTTTCCTTATGCTTAAAGTTAGTATTTGCAAGAAATAGGCGGTTATCTGAGCACAGCTGCAACAGACGGTCACCATTATCTGTTCTTTTAGCCATGACACCATAAGATCCACCCAGGTGTCTTTCCCTTTCACTTAGTTTACCTACTTGAGCATTAAAGTCACCTGCCACTACGACTACATCAGAACGCCTAGCTTTTCGGACAAGGTCAGAAAGTTTCCTGTATAACTCATCTTTTATATCGTCTGAGCTGCAGTCAGTGGGAGAGTAAGCAGAGACGACGAAGAGGCAACGACGAGTTTCCCTATCTTTCCGAGTCCTTACTGATCCGTTTAGTCGGACAGCGCATAGACGACTGTCTACTGGGATCCAGTCTAAAAGAGCTAGTTCCGCCCTCGAACTTAATGCTATACCTACTCCATCGAGGCCACGGGAAGCAGCATCAGGGCTTCCAGATACACGAAGCGTGTATTGAGATGGTTCTTTATTTTGATTAGGTGAGGTCAAATGAAATACGCTACTCGGATCTTGTATGCGCGTTTCGGAGACGCAGCACACATCGATGGTGTAAGATTCTAGAGTTCTAGCTAAGGAAGCCTCATGTCCTATTTGGCACAATGTTCGGACATTAAAAGTTCCTATATGTAGTTTAGAGCTTGATTTCAGGAGACGAGGAATAACGTTCCGTGTACTTGAGTCGTTTGCCCTAGCGGTGCAAGGTGATAAAAGTACGTGAGAACGGTTAGTCGTGGAGATAAGAGAGTTATTAGGAGTAGGAAGGATTTGAAATTGACCAACTTAGTCTCGTGTGTTGTTACGGGTATGAGGGCTAATATCACTCCCCGGCTGCCCACACCGTGGAATGGTATTTCTTGAGGAATCTGAAAAACAAATTAGATTAGTGTTGGTCTTAACGACCTGGGAGCGTGACTGCAGTGCCAAAGGGACAACTGCTTGAGGC